GACAGAAAGAGACTGACTACATCATCCGCTTAGTACCAATCTCTTTTAGTAATTCAATTAAATTCATCTTAGATTGGAACCATATTATCAAATATTAGTTAATTAGACGAAATGAACAATGAACCATTCGCTTATTGTTATTATTTATATTTAGTGAGTATATATATAAATAAATTAGGGAGAAATATCACAAAAATGGCACGTGTCACATTTTTTTTTGTAGAGAAACAATCATATGCAGAATTACCATGTAATCCTCAAATCAATAGTAGTTTATTGAATTATAAACAGTATGTTTACAGGGGTTATAGCATATAAACTGGGGGGCGGAAACAGATTAACAGTTATTTGTTTACAAATATATACAATCAATGAATGGAATGACAAGATGAATAAATATTGAATAGGTAAAAGACAATGATCTACTTAATATTTGTATTACAAAAAAAGAACAATATTTACTCCACTTACTTTCAGTTTAATAATTACATAATATATCATATACACTTAAACAAAATAATAATTAATGAATTAAAGTGAAATGATTTCACGCTTGATATATTGAATTCATCTATTTATCAATCAGTACCTATTTCTTCATATTAATCCTTATTGATAATTTTATTCACATCCAAAATAACAAAAGTATTCATATCAATGTATACAATAAAACATTAAACAAAAGGTAAAAGGGGAATAAAGCATTTTTCTTTCTCTCAGAAAGAAAATAATAATAAGATTTAAGTAGAGTATTTATAAAGATTAATTGGTATGGAAAATCATTTTGTTTTCATTTTAAGAAAATTAATTGACACACGCGTGCGAGACTGATAAGTCCTGGGTTCGAATCTCGCGGGGGGTGGGATCGTGGATGCACACTTTTGAGAAGTCCCATACTAGGACGAAACGGCTATCTAGTGCTTCAAGTTTTTGCATGGTGATCTAGCTTCAATCGACTCATGATTTCAACTATTGGAATATATCCTATGGTTAATTAGAAATGCTTACTTACTATTCACCAATTAAAAATAAGAAAATAATTTTGAAAATGATAATTGTCAAAAGGTTTTATTGATATTTTTATAATTCGTTGATTGAGATCATGAACCGATTGATGTTAGATCACCACTGAAAACCTGGAAGCATTGGGCGACCGTTTCGTCTTACTATGGGACTCCTCAGTAGTGCACATCTACGATCCCGCTCACGGGATTCAAACCCAGGGCTTTCGATCTCGCGTGTGAACGCTTAACCTCTACACTACTGAGCCAGCATCTAATGGCGTTAATGTTACAGTTTTTATGTCATGTCATACTGGATTAATTAGAATGCCATAACACAAATCCGAAAAACGCGAAAATAAATTATATCAACATTGAGATTAGTATTGATATAAATGGTTATCAGACAAGGAATTACTTTTACGGCTTAATATAAGATAGATTCTTGACTAATCAAAATAATTTAAAACTATAGATCGACTAGTTACATTTATGCAAGAATGATTTGGTTGATTGTATACCACCCATCATTAACGTATTGAAAATGATGAAAATCTGCATAACTACTTCTAAAACCATATGAATGATCGCATTCATAATTTTTTTTGTTAGGAAATATTATGTGAGGGATTACTAGTAGGTGAATAAGATCAGATATTTTTCAATTTTCTGCACACTATTACATCATTAAGTAATTAGTATTACAAAAGGAACATAAGTGATATTAGTTGAAGTTAAACACTAACATCGTTGAATGGAGGCTCAGTGGTCTAAAGGTTAAGCGCTCGCTCGCGAGACTGACAGGTCTTGTGTTCGCATCCCACGAGACGGGATCGTAGATGAGCGAAATAGCGGCTGGTTTACATTGACAGGTAATTTATTTTTGTCCTCTCCTCATTATCCATTCAACTTAATTACTTTTTAAAACCTACATGTCGTCAATACTTAAAAAATCATCCTTTGATAGACTAAGTTAATTGAAGTATTCTTTCGCAACAAATTCTTATCTTCTCAATAAACCCGCATATCTATACTTCAGACAAGCAGTAAGTAACTTTATGAACTAGTGTTATTATTTGGTTTATTCAAAAAAATAATTTTCAAGACAGTTTACTACATTAGATGACGTTGTGATATGATACAGGATGTACTGTGCAACGTATTAGGTCTTTTAATTTTATACATGTTTATATTTCTATCAACATATTAACCTTATTCGTCGAATAATACATTTTCGAAACAAACATTTCTAGTCATCGAATCCCTTCATTTACGAGAAATTACCCAAAAGTACTCATAACCGATCGCGTATTCGTTTGTTCTGCCTCCAGTGTCAACATCTAACATTAGTAAGGTAGGATAAACTAGAATGATATGCAATATAAGCGATTTTTGAAAGCCGAATATTTTATCAACTCTACATGTTGATGAATGTCAAATTATGGTCTTGGATATATAGAAATTAACCTAGCAACTCAGTGTTAAAGCAACTATTTGACAGCTTCACATACTATTTCTGAATAAGATGTTGGGACGGACCAATCATAGAAGATAACTTCGCAGGTAAATAGGCCAATTTCTAAAACCCTTAGGTAAAAGTCACGTTCACCAGTGATAGGCAAATGACCGCTGAGTCGATGGAAGAATTTAAAAAGGAGATAGCAGATAGATAAATTCGCTTATTACTTGTGTAAATGTTACAAGTCCTTCTTACTAATAGGAAAAATTGCTCTCTTTGAATGCATAAAAATAGTATTAGGAACTGGAACGTTCGTTTATTTTAGAAGATTTGGTCAACGAACGTTTATAGACGTCTAAAACTGCCCGATTTGTTGTCTCAGAACTGAATTCAAGCATTACAATGTCAGAATCTGAATTCATACCTCTTGGATCAAGTCACTAAGAGACTGTAATTGTACTACTGCATTACAGTCACTAAGGTGTAAGAACGGAGGAAGCCATGAATTAATTTAGTTAACATTCTATTGAAAAATTTTTAAATAAGATAACTGTAAGATGTAAAGCTCAAGTTTGTGCAAAATTTAAATGTGTCGTATTTAGTTGATAAAGTTGAAGATAAATCCATCGTGTGTATGATTTCTCTTTTAAAATATTGTATATCGTCAACCTGTTTTTCGTAAAAGACATTCACTTGACCTAGGTTTAATATAGTGTTAAGTCGATAAATAATTTGGAAATCAAGTAAACATGAATGTAACATACATTTTTGGTAGCAAAGAAATAAATCAAACAGTTTTCCTACACAGCAGCTTATTTGTTAGGAGTTGAATCACTAAACAAGTTGAAACTAGATCTATAATAGTAAACAGTTACGATAACAAACTTCTCGATAGAACACAATCCATTAATTCACCGGTTCTATGATAAGAGAGTTGTTGATAAGTAACAACAACGTAAGAATTATAAAACACACAATTATAAGATTATGTACACCCAGATAGGATACTTATTCATTTTCATAATTCGTATTAAAATTGATTTATAACTTAAAAATCTATGACCTACAAATTTAATAGTGTTCTCCTAATATAACAAGTTCGTCATCTAGCCAAGAGAGTAAGAAGTAGAATTTTCAATGGTAATTCAACATATTTGTAAGTGTTTTCCGTTTCTCTGTCAGTTTCTATTCGGTTCAAAATAGATGACTCCTTAAATTCTTCCCTTAAAATTAGTTTTGAAGCAATATGTAATTTTTGCATAACCAACTAAGTATTTGAGTGGCAGTGTTTCAGACAATAAAATAATAGTGAATTATTTTTATTGGCGGAAAACTAACTGAATTAACTGCAGTATCATTGTTCAAAGAAAATCTTGAAAATTGACATTACTACTCGTTAAAAGAATAAGTAGGCGAAATGTGTATATGAATTTTATCAAGACACGCTTCGAAATATAAGCAAAGATGGATAGTGGCTAGCAGTGGAATCCAGGACGCGTGTTTCGTTCTATCTGAGACTCGTCAGCTGGATTCGCCTGCATCGCAGAGTTGATGTTCGCTTTGGGACTCGAAAATAGTACCATTCGCTTCAAACGCCATCGCGTTATCCATTCAGCTACTGAGTCCTGACAGCTCGTTGCTTGTGCAATGGGGTGAATTTAAATTCACTTAGTATTGCTTGGCTTGTATCTTCCCATTGAGGTTTAAGACTGCAATTGATCAGTCTGTTATTGGCATATGTGCATATGCCTCGATATTTCCTTAATTTAGAAGCATTATAAGCAAAGATGGATAGTGGCTAGCAATGGAATCCAGGACGCGCGTTTCGTCCTGTTGGGAAGATTCAAATAAAACAATATCAAGTGAATTAAGCTTCGAAATAGTTCAAAATAAAATTGGTTATGCATTTGCCAATTTAGCTTTATTCCTAACGGTAACCTAAGCTATCCCAGCTTAAAAAGTACTGGCTTTGGTAAGGCTTTAAGATTAACTTGTGATTCATCCTACTTTGTTTTCAAAATGAGAAGAGATCATGAAGTTCGTTCATAACTATATTGTTTGTAGTGGTTCTCAGGTTCATAAATACGGCATCAAGAATTCCCACCTATAAACATGATGTTGCTTTTTAACGAAGCATGAAGAATAAAACTGAATTCGGGGTTTTATGTCACTAGTTCAGTCACATAAACAAATAATGATGTACTTTATCATCTTCTGATCAAAATTTCATTCACTCATTTTCAGCACATAAAATGTATATCGTTAAAAACTGAAACTCTTATGTATAACAGAAATTGTTCCACTTATACAGACGTTTTGTTCAATAGCGGCAGAATAATTGGAAACATGAAGATTAAGCACATGACATATTGTGGTGTTACGGTTTACTTAACACTCAGCTGTTGACTACTAAGTTCCAGACCCAAATCCTTGAACTTAAATTTGGGGAAACGAGGTGGCAGCACATTAAATTGACTGAAAACAATCAGTGAAACTATACCGTGTCATTTGAAATATGAGATATATAAACCAGTGTGAAGTTGATGAGCAAATAAGTTGTATTATATTACACTACATACTCATTGATCGAAATGTGCATTAAAGTCTTGTTTATACATTAGAAAATGACGACGACTGTTGATAGCCTGATCTAACCATATAGCTTCGAGGAAAAGATTGTTTCTAAGAGCGTACAGCTCAGGAAGTTTTAACTTCTCAGAAGTATTGGTACTGTTGACTGAACATGTTCTGTTCTTCTCAAAATGATTAAACGTGTGTTGGAACTGACTTAAATTGTCTTCGGATTCACCACATTCCGATACTATATTTCGAAAAATTTGTAAAGCTTTCTTGAACCTTGTGCGCGCCAGAATACCTCGAATATGAGCTTGGAGCTTGACTATACTCTGTATTTCCGCTTCAAAAATTAAGTAACAATATATAACAACTGTATACCATTTGAAAGATCGCGCATTACATAACACGGTTTTACTGAACGACACGGAGACACTGGTTAGCAAAGACAAAACCCAGAGTTTCCTAGAAAGAATCCAGTTATACTTCAAAGCTTTTGTGGTGAAATCTAAAATTAAATACAGGATAAGTTTTTATAACATTAAGTGAATTCATATAGGTTTTGAAATAGTTATCACATAAAGCCTTGTAGAAGAAAAAACATTAGGATTTGAGTTATAGACGTATCACATAGCTGTTAACAATTGCTTTGATTGTTTAATTCCATTGTATAAGTGTCAAAAGTGACCATTCTACAAGTATATCTTCGAGGGCAGTTGTGTTAAAAATGATATGATTTACAACAGCTGTAGAGGCTAAGCGGTTTTTATATGGAGTTTACCTGTATCGTACCTCATAAAACTACGATTTCTCATTTTCTGTCGTTTTATTAACGTCTCAAGTGGGCTTGGAAGGTTATTAGATTTACCAGTTAATTTGGCGTAATGCTCATCAAGCAGAGTTCCACATTTTAGTAAACCTCTTGAATAGTGAGGTTTCCAGTTGTTCCATACAGGTTTGTTTTTACTTAGAAAACCATTTGTTACGGGTAAATGTTGAACAGAACACCTTTGTTTAAATCCTATTATTTAAAGCTAAAACATGTCAAAACTTTGCAAGTAATACGCCTACTACAAACATATGAGTAAGTGAAACATTGATAGAAAAATTTATTTTTACATATTTTAACAAAACACTTTGTAAACCAACATTAGTAAACTTAGGACAAACTGGATAAAAAAATGAGGGACGACAGTTTCGTACCTTAAAACACTGGAACAAGAAATAAAAAAATAAGAAAATAACAAATGTTTCACAGTCCAGTGGGGTAAGAATGACGTCAAAATTTTCTTTACAGATAACTAAAAGTGGTCAAGCATTTTCACTTCAGAAAAGTAATTTCCATTCAATTACTGTAAAATACAAAGGTATTTCCACCTCGGATTTCTAAAACTCAGAGTTTCACTGAAATTCAATTTAGAAAGCAGTGAAGTTCTTCTCGAAAAGGGAGGATGAAACAAGATAAAGCGAACGTTAAACGGATTCCGAAGTGTACATATGCTTGATCTTTGTAGTTTGATCCTTGGTAAACGCTAGTCAATGTCCTTAAGTGCATCACGATATTTATTTAAACACATAGAAATTGGTACAAAGGGGCACCGAATACATATACGCCACAAAAGTCACTTGATTTATGTGAGGACTGAGATATTGTCCGATCGCCCAAACCAAGCAGGTGGTTTTCTTGTTAGGCCACGCACTAAGTCTTTGATTTAACGGTCCAATCCACAAGGCAGTGAAGCAAAGTAAGGAGATGCAGTCCCATGGTAGCTGGTGACCAGCAATATGTTTAGACGCCACTTATTTTCTTAAGATCCTGGAGCACATGTGCACTATCGGTTTGGAATCAAGGTTTTACAACTCCCCTAGGTGGATCCTCCGTATCCACCACGATATGCATAAATCAGAAGGTCGAGACAAGCGTATAACTAGAAATGCTGAGTTATCCTGCATAAATACATTCGGAGATCTAAGGTATTGTGCTGGGGCTAAACTTGCAAACTAAAATAAGGTGTCACACAGTTCTTACGAAGGGATTTAAGATAACTGCAACCAGTGCTCAACGTGTTTGAAATGCCAGGAATGAAGATATTTGTGGCACGATGAACAGTAACTGTCCTTCCAAAGCAACCGTTTCTTTTCGAAACAATGCTAGAAAATTCCGTGACAAAGTGCAAAGCTTCTTGTAAAAACCTTTAGGAGGCAATGCATTGAAAACCGTCATAGTTAGTAAGCATGAACATCAGCAATAGCTCTGTTTGACTTAAACTGTCCTATGTAACTAAAAATGGTTTTAAAAAAATTTCTAAAACAGAGATGATTAGCATCCAGACGCCTAAATATAGATTGGTCGGGTCCGACACATATCAGTTTGCACAATGTTCACCATTGGGGTAGGTTGTACACTTTTCTTATTGTCGAGAAAGATAACTCACATTGCGCGGCAATAGGTGGAATAAGAGGACTTATATTTACGTCCAGGCTTGGATAGATTGGTGCGGGAAAAAGGGTCACAAGACCTATTTTGAACTTATGTTCATCACTCATGTTTATGTGAGCTTAAAAATCCGTACCATATTCAAAGATGAGTTGACTGGTTGAGTAGAAACCAGGTCACCAGTCAGTGATTCAGTAACAATGTAGAACTTCGTACATACGTACATCAATTCAGGTTGCCACACCACATTAGCACAGACATGCAGTTGTCAATTCAAATCCTATAGTGGAAAAGGTAGTAAAAGTATAAGCAGTAATCGGAAACATTTGGGTTTGAAGATGTTATTAAAGGAGTATAATCCAGTGAAATAAATTTGGAAAGAGGAAAAAGAAAGGGACATGGAGAATTCAGAAAATTAGAATTTGGTAGAAAACACAAAGAGTGGGTGCACATGCACCATTACAAACGATTTCGAGCCATGTCATTCAGGGTCTCTAACCATCGGTTGCTATCATCTCGCGGTCCCCAACCAGGTAGTTTACACCTACCAACATGGTTCAGTCCACTTGTCAGTGACTTCATGGACTTGTGCCATGTTTTGGTCTGGCCGCCCCTAGCTCTCTTCCAACTTACTCCTATACCACTGAACATCGCACGTCGAGGCAGTCGATTGTTGCGCATACGTAACACGTGTCCCAGCCATCTCAACTGATGAAGTTTCACTACTTCGTCAATTGGCTTGCCATCCTTACCTAGTACGCGTTTCCTAACAACTACATCACTTATTCGGTGGTCCCAGGATATACGAGCAATATTTCGAAGCCACCTATGATCGAATACTGGTAACCTAGGAATATCCTCTACTCTTGCCGGTCATGTTTCACAGCATGTCTACGATAGAGTTAAACAAGAATGAATAGGATGGTCATACACATTTGAGGGCTTGTGACTTGTAGCAATATCAGAGGTAGCTGCTTGATGTGCGCTTGGGTTTTTCTGAACCTTAAAAGGTTTGGGAATTTGATAGTCGCTTCGATGAAACTTCGCTTTTTGGGCCATTTTCTTACGAGATTACCCTTTTTCTACATTCACTGTTGGTTTCGCGTTGAGACTTCATAACATGCTTGTTTTTTCTTACTGTACAAAACGATCACAGGATGCTAACGACTGGACACAATGAAAACTGGACCACCTGGACATTTGCCTTTTCTTCCAGGTTTGGTAGTATGGAGCCAAGAAGTTTGAGTTTTCATTCGTTATTTTGCCAGGGGAAGAATGTTTGTGTCGATGAACTAAAGATAGATCCCTTTGTATCTGATCTCACTAACTAAAATCCGAGTTATCATCTATGTTTCATCCATTAACCTTTGCAGTGATACCAGTTCCCGTCGAAAAGATTTCCTGGAAACATCTTAAAGTCAGTAACTTTCCAAAGTTTGGGGAAATATTAAAGGAAATCCAAAGTTATTTCAAATATTCTGGGGAATCCTCCACAATAACTTGAGAGTTTAATATTTTTTCGCCTTTCTCCAAAATTCTCTACTGCAGATTTTTCAAAGTTTATCCAAAACTGATAAACATTTAACCCAAAATCGAGAGATCGGCCTAATATACAGGCATCATATGGGAGTTACAATTCAAATTATTAGCTATTTTTACCCCTGAATATGTGAGTTAAATCGAGATAAAATTAATGAGTAATATATCTTTGAAGCCAAGAATACTCTTCTACTACCCAAATGCAAACGTTAGGTATCAAACAACACAATCTCTGAATTTCAGGGAAACTTTTATCCGTTTTGAGAAACTTTTATGGAACGTTCCAGTACCGGCACAAAAAACCCAAAGTTTACCCAAGTTTGAGGAAACTCCTCAAACGTTTTTGGGGAAATTTAGGGTTTACCACAATATTTCTCCGGAACCTTATGACATTTCGAAGTTTTTCCCCAAAATCTCAGAAAGCTTCCCGAGATCTTTATTTTAGGGAAGTCGCTATAGCAAACTTCGAGGAAATTTAGAGGAAATGGCACTAAAACGTGAAAATTTCCTTAGATGTGGGGAAATTCATCAAAATTTCCCTTTAACTTCAGTGGAGGTCATTTGACTTTGGAGGTTTTCCCCAAATTCCCCGAAATTTCCTCAAACTTGGGAATTTGGGTTTGAGAACAAATACCAAATTTTCCGCGACTTTCAAGAGAAACTCAAGATTTATCCAAAATTTCTCCAAAACAATGAAACTGTGGATAAAATATTCCATAAATTGAATCCATTGATGAAATTTCTTACCATTCTGAACATTCACTTGTCACTAAACAATAAAATTTCATTTTCATTATAGAACACTATCGCTTTCAAGTTGGAAATGGACTCTAGCTTACGCTTATCAATGTTGATGACGGAATAAGACCGCCTTTTGTTGCGTTCACCAAACGTCTTCAGTTGACGTTAGTAACGAATTTCAATTTCGATCTATACTTGCAAGGTATTCAAACAAAAGCCAATATTATATTTGTTACGAGGGCCATAGTTGAACCTTAAATGAATTATTCGACCATACTATCGATCTTAATAAGTCATAAGAGCTCAGGTTTGTTTTCTAGCTGTAGAATACATCAATTCCAAATAAAACATCTAATTGACAAACTTCGATCGGTACTCAATAGTTATCCCGAACTTAACGAAATGTCACTGAAATACTTATTTGTAGCCAGTAGTTCCACGTTCCACACCACAATGACCTGAAAGCCTGATCTTATTCTTAAGCACTCTGACAAGCTAAGAACATCAAAAAACAAATTCTACTGTATGTTGGGTTTTAAGATAATCTTTATCTTTGGTGGTCAGTAATACTCGTTGCTGACCACTATACTTGTGTTGAAGGACAATGACTTCGCCCTGACGGTTATCATGGATGACTTAATTAAAACCATTTCAGATACTTATATATTGGTGCACATCTGCAACTTGTATATAACTTAGAAATAGATGGCCGTATTTTTGAAAATCTGCCTAGCAAAAGCTTACACATGAATCCATGTGGTCGATGAAGCACCACAGAACCGTTTTTTTATTTCGCCATTGACCGATTAACTTTTTCTATCGATGAAAGTATCAGAATAGACCATGGTATGAAGTATTTAACGATCGCAAAATTCACTGTCTTTGAGTACAACCCTAAAATTCTCATTAGTTCCATTGTAGATATATTCAATACAGATGTTTATCCTGAACGTTGATGATCTATTTCGAATTATCGAAGGACTACTTTAGTTAGAAAGGAATGGTATGACCAACAGCTAACCTCTAAGTCACACCTCTCGGTCAGTATCTAACATGGATAACCTTTATGTCGTATCAAGTTATATGAATGGTTCGATGACCTTACAACACAAAGGACGTTATTACAAAATTATGTTAATTAGAGTAGATACACCACCGCATGGGTCAGTCCATGACGCGAGATTTATTTATACGCGTTAGTAGTCCTTGATCTCGACGGGAACCGATGAACCGTTCGATCTTCAGTGACCAGGTGATTTGACTAAGGCTCAGTGAAATTTCACTGGCCCTAAACAACAGTCATTGTAGTTTACTAATTATGGATAGATAACAACTGGTAATCACTCAAATTTTTCGGGGGACATTCATAGTATATACAAACAAAGTAAAGCACTTCGTAGCAGGCCAAGAATTTATGATTTATAACGGGTGTACATCTTTGACATACTTCGTTGAAAAGACCTAACAAGCACTCTCGAGAGTCCTGAAAATTCTTTGAAAAACCTCATTCCACTTCATATTCATGCCGTATTTCTTGAACGAACAATTCGGTAGAAGGTGCTTTGTGACTAGTAAATTCCCTGAGATTTTTTCCAAGAAATTGATTTTATTAAAATGGTCCAATCCCACAAATTACACAACTAATCAATTAAAAATCGAGAATCCTAGCTGTGCCTGACTAGAAGAGATAAAAGCAACAATCATTTGGTTCATTCAGTGGCAAAAACTACCAAATTATATACTCACTGTATCACCTCAACGTCTTTAATGCGTTCGAAGAACCATCAACCTCACCGACCGATAATTTTATTTGACTGAAAACAATGGGTTGGAAGGCTGTATAAATGGCAAGATCATTTACGTAACAAGATATAACAAATATCTCAAAGGATTTTCTAGTGTTAGATGTTCGTTGGACTCATGTTCATCAATAAAGTAAGTTACCTACCAGAATTAAATAAATCCTGTTATCTTTAACATGCGTTGATCGTTTCACACTACACGCTACATGTATATTAATACTAAGACTTTAAAGAGCTCTTCGGGTGATTTATCCCGAACTGTAGTTTCGAAAAACAGCACACAAGTCAGCATTATGCATGAATGACTTCACTGACAATTGGAAGTTTCCCTCCTATCTGTAAAAACGACTGATGGACTGAAACTTAACTTATTTACAGCTCAGCCACTCAATTTTCAGAGGTCTTTTCAGGCGTCACATTTTTGGTGCTTCAAGTAGACTTTACGTCCTTCATGAGAGAGGTTCTAAACGTTATGTCTTACATTTAAACCGATCTGAACCTGATAAACATATGTCTCTTTGCAACCAACCATAAGATATAGCATACACTTCTTCGGACTTTATATTGACTCCTCGAAAAATACCCAAGCTCACCGATTGACTAGAAGTAGTACATGTTTAGAACGTACACTAATGTTCGTCAATTTCCATATGTTTCCGATAAACATAGAAATTGTGTAAGTAACCACGGGACCACAAATAGTAATCAACCACTGGCAGGTAACATCAATTTCTCGCAAAAAGTTGGAATCGATAAGTTATGAGTGGTTACTTGTGTTATATCCGATGCTGGTTTGATAGAAGTGAGATGTGGTAACTTCTAATGAATTGATAGTGAGACATAAATTCGAAGATATGGACAGACAAGTTATATTTGTGCGTTGCAAAACACCAAAATATTGTTCGAGATCACAATTATAACAATAAATTTAATAGGAAACATCCAAGTTTTAAGCTTTTAAAGTCTATAAAGGGAACAAAGGCAAAGCGGAAATCAGATGTTTGGGATCAAAATTGTAACAAATTCATAACTCCATTAAAATAAATATATGAACACTTAGCAAAAAATTGGCAACGATTTAAAATGACAATCTACAGTAAGTCGAAAACTGAGTTTTTCTCATAACACTTATAAGGAGTGTAATGAAAAAGCTTGAAGATAGCACAAGTATTCAGTGTTTGACAGCGTTTTTACCTGCAAGACCTTCTAATATAATTCGTACCCACCAAGAGAAATCAAAGGACAGAGTCGAGGAGATCGGAAGAGTGTATTTGGCGATTACCAATATATCGAAATTCTGTGATCTAATCTGGCTAGCGATTGCAGTAGATGTTGAGCACAGCATTACCACACGTGATCAGGTGCGGATGCATGACCGATAGCCTTCAGCTAGGTGAGTTCACTAAAACTAATCTGGTCAGTATCCAATGTTGAAAACTTACAGAGCTATTTATTTTGTGGATTTATTTACCGCTACAGATCACTCCCCCCATAGTGGGGTGGTGATTACCCTAAGACGGCCAGCCAGAAGTTTAAACCCAACGAGTTTGTCGTTGGTAAACACCATTCTGATAGCTTGCTAGATTTAACAGCGTCTGGTCGTCTTTCCTTACTATATGGGACCGAGGTTCAACATAGTAAAAAAAGAAAAAGTACAATGAAAATTTCGGCTTCTCGTAAACTGCATCGTTCTTTTCCAGCCGTCCTGGAAAAGAAAAAAGAAAATGTAAGTGCATGTCGAAATACACTCGTATGTGCGTAAAAACACAATGTCGGCAAAAAAATGGAAAATAAACTCAAGCACACGTAATAGCGTTAAAACATTTTTGTTTTTTTTGAAATAAATATATAAATATATAAGCATATTAAAATTGTAAAAAAAAAATATTATATATCGTAAAAAGGAAGATCGAGATAATATAAAATGTCGAGTAGTGCCTTACGTGCTGTAGTCGTTTAAATGTTCTGGAAATCTTACTCTTCTTCCAGAACGCGTCGTTTTGAGTTCATTTTCAGATACATTCGGAGTATCGTCGCGTGTGTTGGTTGTCGGTTGAGGAATTATGAGTGCAGGAGCCGTGTTTTGCGATTGTACCGAAGGGAAATCGACGTGAATACGATTTCCTTCTAAATACGCTGCTTTTAAGCAATCGATGCTCATGCTATCGTTTGTTCCGTTCTTATCGACTATATAGTACTTACATTCACGTTGAAGAACTTTGAAAGTTCCCTAGTATGCTGGTTCGAACGGTCGTCGATTCGAGTCTCAATGAACGAACCAGGCATTAACTGAGCGCATTGCGTTTGTAAGCCTGTTCGTGTGGGAGGTTAGATCCATGTTCATTGAAGAGGATGAAGTATCCACGAATTCTCCTGGAAGTCGAAGTGTCGTTCCATAAACCAGTTGAGTCACAGTGTATCCAATGTCAGCTTTCACTGCATTGCGGATACCTAATAAGACGAATGGAAGAGCGTCGGTCCACTGTGAAACGTTTGCAGCTGATAGTGAAGCTTTTAGTTGTTGGTGAAAACGTTCTACCAACCCGTTTGCTTGTGGGTGGTAGGCGGTCGTTCAGAAGCGAGTGCTTCCTAATAGTGTGGTTAGACGACGGAAAAATTCAGACTCAAACCGACGTCCACGGTCTGTAGTGATGGTTGAAGGGCAACCGAAGTTTGTTACCCATCGTTCGACGAAGGTGCGGGCCACTGTTTCAGCAGTGATGTCCTTGATAGGTACTGCTTCTGGCCATCGAGTGAAACGATCTACACAGGTTAAAAGGTAAGATTATCCATTTGAATCTGGTAAAGGTCCTACCAAATCCAGATGAACATGGTCGAAATGAGCATCGGGAGTTTTAAATGAGCCTAAGGGACATTTATTGTGTCTGATGACATTAGATTTTTGGCAGCTTACACAGGAGCGTGCCCACTCCCTTACGTCTTTATTCATACCAGGCCAGCAAAACCGTTCTGCTATGAGCTTGATGGTTACACGAACAAATGGATGAGAAAGTTTGTGCAATGTGTTGAAGACATTGCGTCGATAATGTTTCGGGACGATTGGGCGATCCCTACCTGTAGATGTGTCACACAGTAAGGTTTCCTTACTTGTCCCCACCCGTTTGATACGTAACTTGAGGGCTGTGGTCAATAACTCGTGCTGAAGATCAGTGTCTTCTTTTTGAAGCTCAGCAAGTTTAAGAAGGTCGATTCCTTGGAAACCGTTCAAGGAAGTTATTCGAGATAAGGCGTCTGCAACTACATTGTTTGCTCCAGAGATGTGTTGAATGTCTGAAGTAAACTGAGAAATGTAGTCCAGTTGTCGAAACTCACGAGGAGAGTACTTGTCTGAAGGAGAGCTTAGAGAGAAGGTGAGTGTTTTATGG